TTAAAACCTGCTGGGGATTTAGCTCAGCGGCAAAGCGCCTGCCTGGCAAGTGCAAGGTCGTGAGTTCGGTTCCCGGTACCGGAGAAAAACCAAACCAAACCAAAAAATTTAAAACCTGATTCGAGGGGAAAAATAGTTCTGTTTACCTACTCTTTGTCTATAGGCTATCCTCAGCCTCATAAGACACAACATAAAAAATACTTGCTAAACATTTGAATAATAATACTCCTGTAAGATGAAATGATTTATTGCCTTAATGTACTACTTAATTATTGAGACGTGTTAATAGAATGATAAATGCACAAAGTAATCTATGAATTTTGATATGTGTAACTTTTTCATTCATAGTTTTTTTTTTATTTTAAAGAGATTAGTAAAAGAAAAAAAAAGAACAATAGCAGCATACCAACATCGCAAACATAAACAAAACAAAGCAAGACCATTAAAAGTGATACAGGGGTTCAAAACAAATGATAGGAATTAACAGTGGTTGTTGTATTACATATTGTTATCTTCAACTATGTTGCTCAGATTACCAGATGTAAGAATGGAAGATTGTTCAAACCATTAAAGAAAGTTTAAAAATAATTATTAGATAAAACATTAGAGATAATACAGAGTTTCACTGGACAAGATGGTAGGAATTCACCAATGGTTGTTCCATTGCATATTGTTGTCTTCAAATCAGTTGCTCAGATTATCAAATATAAGTATGCAAAATTGGTCAGAACATAAAAAATTTTAAGCCTTTACTGCTCCTTTCAGTATACCATCAGACATCAACAGAAGTTATCCCAGCTAGTCATATATATATTTTTTTTGGTGTTGTTGTTTTTCTTTCTTTTTTCTTCTTTCCCCATCCCAGTTGTTCCTTCCTTTGAGCAATTTCTTTTCCTTTCATATCTTCTGTTGTACATTTTGAATTTTACTTACTCTTTCAGATTCCTACACCAGGGAGACAATAAGATGTTTATACATGTGGGTCTGATTTATTTCACTTATGACTGTGGTCTCTAGTTGCATCCATTTACTACAAAATCCTCAACTTTATCTTCTTTTACAGCTGAGTAATAATACATTGAATAAAAATACCACATCTTTTTTACCCATTCCTCAGTGGATGAGCATTTGGGTTGTTTCCAAGATTTAACTATAGCAAATTGTGTTGCTGTAGACATGGGTGCACATATATCGCTTTGTATGATGTTTTTAATACTTCTAGGAAAATACCCAGAAGGGGAATAGCTGGGTTAAGTGGGACTTCTAATCCTAGTTTTGTGAAGAATCTCCAAACTGATTTCCACAGTGGTTCCACCAATCTACACTCCCGCCAACAGTGGAGTAGGGTTCCTTTTTCCCCACAGCCTCTCCAGCATTTGTTATTGGTTGATTTCTTGATGAGAGCCATTCCTTCTGAGGTAAGATGGAATCCCAGTGTTATTTTAATTTGCATTTCTTGAAAGACTAATGATGTTGAACATTTTTTCATATATTTATTTGCCATTTGTATTTCTTCATTTGAGAAGTGTG